CAACAAAACTTTGTTCATGAATTACTACTGAATGATTGTAGATGCCATTGCACGCTATTCGTCAAATGTGATGCGGTTTCTAGATAGAACACGCTGACGTATTAGAGGCTCCAAGATAGTAGCTGAGCAGTAACAGTTTTAATTAAATTTAAAGAAAAACAAAATAAAGCATGATTTAATTCAATTCGTCAAACATTTTACAAAGTATTAAGTTCTGCATTAATATAAAAAGCATATTTATTAGTTTGAATATTTAATTAAATTTTGCTATCAGCATTAAAAAGAAAGGTTGCTTGCAATATCTTGCAAATAATCAAAAGTGTTTTCACCATCATAGAATCTTACAATACTTAAAATTCTTGTATTTAAATTCGCATATTTTTCCTTGGAGGTTGTAAGGGATGACCAGCCAACATTTGAGTGCAATGTACTTGCTGAATACTTTTTTCTTTTTATAAAAATTCAATGAACTTTTAAAGTGTTGGGTGGTAACATCCAATGTTTGACTGAAAACATCTATGCCAACCTTCAACCGCATTGCTTGTCCTTGGCAACTCATCTTCACAACGCTGATGCATGTTCCATATTTTTATATCATAAACTGGTTGGCGTCTATCATGGTGTTGTGATCTTCCTATATAATTGTCCTCAAAGTAATCTAAAACTGGCAAACAATCAACAAAAAGTTTCAAATGCTTCAACCACTTCACCTGGTGGAACAAATGCAAGAGCTGCAATCATCCTTAGATTCAATGCAAAATCTGAATTTTCTCGATACTGACAATTTTCCTGAATTTTTTTGTATATATTTTGACATAGGTGAAAAAAACAGCCTTTAATGTCACAGTTTTGAAATTTCCTTTTGAAACTGTTCATTACTGCCAATTCAGAATCAACCATTACACTAGTTGGGTTTAAATTAACATTTAGCAAAGAAATTATCTCAAACGTTTTATAAGTTTCCTCCTTTTTGTTTGGTAGTAAAATGAAAATGCAAGGTATTACCCGTCCTTGAACAAGAGCAGGAATAGAATTTAATTGAAAGAATAAAGGAGCTGTTTTGAATGTCCCATCCATGAACCAATGTGATGATGATTGTAAAAGTTTGAGGTTATCATCAGTTCCAAAAATAAACATTCGATTACTATTTTCTCTCCCAAAGTCATGCAAGAGGAAATTTTGCCCATCACGAGTAAATTTATAACAATCTGGAATTTCAACATCAGCCAGATTCAATGGTAAAGCAATCGGATTGTTAACAACTTGACGGTGACGTCTTATATTACGTCGTATATGGTGAACAGTTGGCAATTTCTGTTGATTAAAATGTTTTTTTTGCTAATACCTTACATTGTTGTGCACAGGTTAGAACTTCTTTTCTCGCTGGATCTGGAGCATGAGAATGTACGTTCATTCGTTCCACAAGCTCATGACCACGAAGTTTAAGTTTAGCCTTGCACGAACTAGTGTTTCTACTTTTTTCGCATTCATATAATACGACACCGTCTACTAAATCTTTCTGTTTAACATAAATAAAACCTTCGAAAAGCACATTTAATATTCCTCTATTTGAATTTACGAATTTAATTAACGAAGTCATTATTACGTGTAATTGAAATCAAATTTATAACAAAATAACGATTATGATTCCCAACAAAAAATATTGACAAAATTGAGCTAAGTTCACAGACAACAAAAATATGTATTGTAAAAGATATAAAAAAACTATTATCATTAAAAAAACATAAAACGTAAATTTTTAATTCCGTTTATTCACAAAAAAAGTGAAAGAGTCAGCCTAGCAATAAATGCTTATTTAGGGTTGACTCACATAAAACACGAAATAACATAGTAAGTAATCCAAAAAAAAAACACAATAACATAAATGGGTAAAATAAATAAATAAATGTCTTTTAAATTCTTCAATGTTCTTAAATTTTTATGGATAAACTTAGAAATAAAACATTGATACATTTAAACTTTAAAAATGAATAAAATTAAAAATAGAATATTAATACAGTTAACTTAAACAATTTAAAAATGTTCTCAACTTCTTTTTAAATTCTGTTAGATTATTAATTAATCTTAAATATTGTGGCAGATTATTCCATTTATAAGGTGCAGGATAACAAAAGTTCCTGGATGTTATTTTATTTAAATTCATTGATGGCTTAATTATATTAGTATTGTTAGTTCTGTCAATCCTGGGGTTGGCTATAAATTTAATCGTATTAATTAACATTATATCAGTTGTAGATGTTATATTGTTGATAATTTTAAATGTTAATAAAGATGATTTATAGGAATTTATTTCAAAAATTGATAAAATATTATTATTTTGCATTAGAAAGAAAATTAACAACAGCTCAAATTGCTCTAATAAATTAGAAATTATAATTTATTTGTCCTTTGAGTTTTTATATGGGGGTGGGTTTAGTCTGGGGAGTATTTGTCCGGGGGGTATTTTTTTCGGGGGGAGGGGTATTTGTCTGGGGATATTTTGCTCAGGGTTCTTTTGCTCGGGGGAGTATTTGTCCGAGGGGTATTTTGCTCGGGGGGTAATTGTCCGGGTGTAGGTAATTGTCCTGGGAGTAAATGCCCGGGGGGTAATTGTCCTAGAACCACATCGTACTATTATTCATATCATAATGCTGTTATGTTTCCTATACCAAACGGTAACAATATATTCCACGAACCACTGGGAGCACACACACACACAAACAGATATCATACTATTATTCATATCATAGTACTGTTATAGTACCAGCGCGATTGATTACTTATAGGTCAGGGGAAAATAGATCGATGATCGACTATATATTGGTAAGGGCCAAACATAGGAAGTATGTGAAGAATGTGAAGGCGATACCTGGTATGTTGCAGCATAGTATGGTTGTGATGGATGTGACATCAAAAGAAATGGGGAGGAGGAAGAAGGATAAGTTTGTGGCAAAGAGAAAGACATGGAAGTTGCAGGATGCAGAGGTGAGGAAGGCATTTGAAGTGAAGGTGACTGAAAATTGGGAGAGTGGTAAGGATGGAGATGTTTGGGAGAGATACAGGGACTGTGTGTTGGCTACGGCAGATAAAGTATGTGGATGGACGAAAGGAAAGTGTAGGCATGGTGAGACGTGGTGGTGGGATGAAGATATAAGAAGGGTTTTGGAAGTCAAGAAGGAGAGGTTTGGGGTATGGAGAAGGGACATGACGGAGGAAGCGGAGTCTGAGTATAGGAAGGCTAAGAAGGTTGCAAAACAGGCAGTGGCAACTGCAATGACGAAAGCATCAGATAGGTTAATGAAGGAAATGGAATCTGATGTGAGTTCGAGGAAAATGTTCAAAGTAGCAAAGCAGTCAATGAGGGATAGGAAAGATGTTATAGGGAATG